AAAAATGTCCGTTATGACTGATTATGACTTAGTATATTTTTACATGATCTTAATTTGTAACCGAAAATGATTTTATTTATATCATCACTAGAGATTACCACGTGTATGTGTATTGTCTAACGGCTGAACCAACTTATACTGTTCAGGTACTTTTAATTGTTGACTTCCACCATATCAGAAACATGTTTTCGGTTTTAATAAACTGTTCCGTCGGCTGAGCGGGCCCAATGTTAACAAAATGGTGAGGGCTAAAGCTGTGTCTAACGATTTACGTCAAGTTATTGTCAATTCATACAATGCTGGTAATTTTGGTGCTAAAATTGCTAAACAACTGCAATTATCACGCTTTACTGTACAAAATATATTCAAATTATATAAAATGACAGGAACAGTTCAAGAAATACCAAATTTGGGTAGAACTTCAAAAATAACCCCGCTTAATATGAGAGCAATACGTCGTATTTTGAAACAAAATCGCCGAGCCATTTGTGGTGAATAATTAAGTGTAGCGTGGAATAGAGCAACGGGAAATAATTTTTCAAGGTCGATCTGTCTTAGAGCTATCAAACGATTGGGCTATAATTTCTATAAAATAATTTATTTTCGAAAACTTGTCATCGAGAAACAATAATGAAGAATTTTTTTTCGCGGGCTAAAGAAAAACAGCTGTTAACTGTAAGATAGAAAAAGAATAGATTAGCATGGGCCAAAAATCATAAGAAGTGGTCACAGATGCAATGGGACAGTGTTATTTGCAGTGACGAATCACGATTTGAAGTTTGTGTTGGAGATTACCGAAGTAGGGTATTGAGGACAAAAAATGAAACTTATCAACCAGACTATTTGCGTCGAAAAGTCAAGTTTCCAGCTTCTGTAATGATTTGGGGATGCATGTCGGCTCAAGGGGTTGGCAAGTTGCACATCATAGAAGGGACTGTCAATGCTGTTAGATACATTGACATCCTCAGAGACAGTCTAATGCCATCCATTGACAACTTAAAAGGAAGAAATAATAAGAACATATTCCAACAGGATGGCGCTGCGTGCCATACTGCTAAAATCGTAAAGGAATTCATGTTGGAAAATAATATTCCGATATTAGATTGGATGTCCAGTAGTTCCGATCTGTCGCCAATTGAAAAAAAAAAAAAAAATTACGAGCTACTCCTGCTAGAACAGTTTCTGAATTAAAATGAGAGACTAACTCAAATTTGGAACCTATTCACTGCTGCAGATTGTAAACAGTTAGTATATACCATTCCAAAACGAATTGTAGCAGTTCTGAAACAAAAGGGAGATGTTACACAGTGGTAAAAATCATTGGTGTCCTTCCATGATTATTGAACCAAACGAAATGATTCATTGTTATCTTATTTAATTTAGTGGTCTGTGCATATTTATAATTTTCTAATGGAGTCTAAAATAAAATAACAAATATAATATTGAATGGGCCAAATAATAATGATTTTGGGCTCGTATTCATGAAAATTTGAAATTCCCAAGGGACAATAATCCTTATTTTTTTGTTTTGAAATTTATTATTTCTCAGTCGCCCTTAAATTTGTATGATTTTTATAGTTTTTGACTTCAAAACTCTAGATATTTTGCCTGTTACTGGCAAAGCTCGTATGTAACAACGCCCATGTCAGCGTCTAAATTTAGTTTTCTTATTTTTTTTCTAATAGTGTTTCAGGCTAAACGAACTGTAATAACAGCTTCTGTATACGTGTGCATAACAATTGCAAGGGGCTGAAGTGATTTAACCCCTTATCCCTACTCGCGGGTTAAATGATCCACTACGAGGCTAATTTCAAAAAAAGCTGAGCGATTGGTGACACTTAGTTCGCGCATGCTATCTTGTAAATCCTAAACGAAATTTCTTTCCTTACATCATATTTCACTAAATTTTGTATGGGCTTTGGTTAAAATAGAAAAAAAAAGGAACACTATAGTACAACTTTTAAGCTTATTCCAAAAAATAAAATGGGAGTACGGATTTAAAAAAATAAATACAATAAAAAAAAAACATAATAAATAATTTCCCGATTTTTTTGCCTTATATACAATTTTTCGGTACATTGAAAATACCGACAATAGCGCATCTTTATACAATTTCTATATTTTTCATTTATCGAAAAACGCAATATTCGGGATACACGTTTTTTTTTTAGTTCTGTTAAATAAATAAACGAAACAAATTTTTTAACGAAAAAAATTATTCAGATTTTCGGAGACTAGTTTTTTGGTAATTCGATTTTCGCGCTTTATCTAACAGAACGGGAACCGACCGAACGATTTCTTTATATATTTCAGTCGAAAGATCCCTAGTTTCGATATTCTAAAAATTCTTCATCTTCAATGTCATAACACAGATCTGCGGCTGCGAGGTGTATTATTTGAAAATCAGCGGCAGCTCTAAGTAATTTTGCATCCTCAATATGAATTAATACGGTCTAAAGATTGTTTAATAGAAAAACGGTTTGAGTATAAATTTGTATAGATTCCCCTGTGGAAAAAGTGTAAATCAAGGCTATACCAGCTCGCTAAAATTATTTATCCTTATATATTGGAAAATGTTTGTAAATAATTGATTTTGAAAGGAAATGGTCCAAATATTTAAGAAATATACAAGGCGTTCAATTAAGAATCGGACAGAGAACAACTGAAGATTCTCTGATTAGGTAAAATGTTTCCGAAATACAATTAAAGTTAAAAATGTTTTATTACTCAGTATAATTTTACTAAATTAGGTAAATGTTTTGGATGTAATAAGAAGCACCTATTTGCAAAAAAATAAGTTAAATAAACTTTGCCAGTGGAGTACAGCATGGGTAAGCAACACCTTCATTCTCTCCCTTGATTTTACACTACTACTGTACAAAAACTAATTTGGACTATATTCTTAAATAAATCGTGTACTATTGTTGAAAGCATACAAAATAATCAAAATTTCAGAAATTAAAAATAAATTAAAATAAACGAGTATCCACCTTTGTGTGCGAATATCTCGAAAACTAATCACTTTATAAGTTTCCAACAGTAGTACATTTACGTAAAAAAATATCAAAAAATTTAAAATTATAGTTTTTGTACAGTGGCGTAAAATTTAGAAGAGCTGAAGGCATTACTTACCCATGCCGTACGCCACTGGCAAAGTTAATTAAACTGATTTTTTTGCTGATAGGTGTATCTAATGACACCAAAAACGTTTACAGAATTTAGTAAAAGTATACAGTGAAATAAAAAAATTATGGCCATTAACAATTTTTGAATTTTCAACACCCTGTATTTCGGAAACTAATAATATTTCATTTAAGCATGTTTCGTTTAATCGTCTTATTTTAATCAGAGAATCTTCAGTTATTCCAAGTCCCATTGTTAATTATCTAGCGTCTAGTCGTTTTGAGGCCACTGTCGATTCTCATTTGTGACATGCGCATTGTAATAGTAAATGTTTGAGATTTATAACTGGTTGGAAGTTACGAGATTAGACAATTATTATAAAAAATTGTTATTTTGGAATTTAGATCTGTATTAAAAAAATATATTATGTGACCAATATTATTGAATTATCACGAACTTTTATTGTTGGTCTATCAACTAAAAGCTGACATCAAGAAATCAAGAAAATAAGAATATATACAAAACGATTCTCTCAACAACTAAAAAGAGAGATACAAGAACTAAAAAATACATCTTTTAATTCTTATTTCCGTAAATTAACAAACTATAAAGATAAAATGACTAGATATTCGCTTTTCAAAGCAACAAAGAAATTAAAGAGACCTCATCCAAATTCCTCCCATATGAATAGAAGAAGGATGGGCTAGAGTCACCTGCAGAAAATCTTCCAACTTTATGAATTAGATATAGAAGCAAGAGGAGATCAAAGTTGTCACCCCAACAGAAGTTACTACAGAAATAAAAATTAACATCAACCCAAAAAAGGTTCCTGGTTATGATCTCATTACAGAAGAAGTACTGAAAAGGAATTGTCAAACTTACAAATTTGATAAATGCATCTGTCAGACTGGAGCATGTACTAAGTGTATGGCAGATTGCAGGAGTCATTATGATTTTGAAACTTGAGATACCACCAAGTGAACCTAAATCATACTTCTCTATTATTGCCAGTGATATCAAAATTCTTTTAGAAGCTACTATTAAAGAGGTTCAAAGCCTAATAAAAGACCATCAATTAGGATTCAGTCTGCTCTACTAAAATTATGACAAATCATAGAATAGTATATAACAGATAGATATTACGGAGTGAAAAAGAGGAATACCCTGAATTAAAGCAAAGTAAAGCAGGAGTACTACAGTGGAAAGTCCTTGGTCTTGTCTATGGTACACCAGAAATGATTAAAGTCAAAACCGCTAGGTTTGCTGATAACACTGGTATCTTAGCAATAGGAGTAAATGCAGATGAAGCTAATAAAAAGTTACAACAAGGCACTAACAAATTCAGCAGATGGACTAAACAATTCCTATAGACCGTCAGATAGTGACAGGTTTAGGTGCCCCATTTTCGCATACAACCCTCTAAGAAGGTTGAAAAGTACATCGATTTTAAGTAGAATGAAAGGAAATTTACAAGTGGCTCCTAGGGATAACACATGGAAAATTCGATTTTCCCCAAAAAAAAAATTAAAGGTTATTTGCTACCCACCTTTCCACGCAAGCCGTTTTCACTATATGATTAATAAATAGAACTAGGCTTCGAAAAACCAAAGGCTTTAATGTTGCAAGTGGCTAAAGGGCGTAATCTTCTGAGGAAAAATCGAGATTTTACCCGATTTTTCCACACAAGCCCATCGAATGTATGAAAACGTACATAGTCACTAGTCTGAAAAACATATTTTCTTGAGTGACCTGAATGTATAATTGCATTTTGGGTTCGGAAAATTTTTCTGATAAGGAAAATCGAATTTTCCATGTGTTATCCCCAAGAACCACTCGTAAATTTTCTTTTATTCTACTCTACATCGATGTATTTTTCAACCCTCTTCGAGGCTTGTATGCGAAAATGGGGCACCTAAATCGGTCACTATCTGACGGTCTACTACCACAGCCATACAACTAATTAAAAAAAAAAAAATGGATAATGAAATTAACTGAACTAAAATCTCTAACTATAAGTTTCACAAATAAAAATAACCAAAATAGCATGTCACGTATGAGAATCGAAAGTGTCCTCCCGGGGACTAGGCGCTAGTGAATATGCAGTGTGCCTATTTAAGTTCGCAGTACAGAGAACACTTTTTTTATTAATAATTTTATGAAAAAATATAGTCTTTATAAAAAGTTCTGTATGGTCTAAAACCTAGAATGCAACCACCAGATATCATTTTTTTTTAGTTGTAGACAAGATTTGTCTAAAAATGTTAATTGTGTCCAATAGTAAAGTACCTTTTTTTTAATATCGAAAATTATTACAAAGAAAAGTTGACTAGAATTAAAAACTATGTTTTAATATGCAATTACATCCATTTGCCTTAAAAAATAAGATTTAATCATTTTCTACACATCTCTATACAGCTCCCTTGAAAATTATTCCTTACACATTTAATCTAGGGTGCATATTGATCTGTCATTAAACTGCAAACGTTATAAAAAAATGTAGAGAGAAGAGTTAAATATTCAAGGCTGTATTGGAGCAAAAACTGTAAAATATAATTAAACCTAATAATGGATTTTATTTGTTGCACTAGGTGTAAGTCTTCTGCACTGAACGCATTTGATTTGTTCAGTGTAGCTTCAAATATTTAACATTATCACACATGTAGCATATACTTTTGACAAGTATGACAGTTCGAATACAGTGTCGAGTGTGACACTAGTGCAACAAATAAAATCCACTATTATTTTCGATGGTAGATACATGTAATTGCATATCAGAACGCAGTTTTCAATTCTAATCAACTTTTCTTTACAACAATTTTCGATATAATTAAAAATAAAAGACACTTTATTCTTGCAAAAATTTTTTATCAGCCTCGTATAAGACTCAAAAAATTTGATATGAAGAATATTATTTTCTTTAAAATTAAAACAAAATTTTGTTCCAAATGATGTGAACTAAAGTAGACAGTATTACCTTAATCACTTAATGCTGACTTAATAAAAAAAAAATGAATAAAATAAACCTAAATAAACCCAAGGACTTGATTAGAAGCTTACATCATCTTCGGAAAACTTGATCACAGGAAAGTAGACTACTATAAATAATACCTCGGGCATAAAATCAAAATGCAATATTAAATCTTTCGTGTTTTGAAGCCACAGTCTCATTCGGCAGGCAAAATTACTCAGAATCAACCGCTTGGGATTCTCAAACAATTATTAAGACCGTTATTATCGCAGGCCTGCGTAACTTTATAAAGTGAGGAGGCTCTAACAGAGAGGGAGGGGGCTATTTGTACTTCGAGAGAGAGAGAGGAAACGCCCTCCCCGTCCAATAAGGCGAGTTGCACTAGAGTTCATAAGCTTTCTCGGCTTTGGTAGAATAGTATATATCCGGTCTCTGACGATTTTTGGGTATCGGCTGTCAGGCCGTAGAAATCTTCTATCGTAGAAGCGTCAATTTTCTGAAAACAAAAAAAAAAGTTCAAACTGAGCGAAATCGCAATGGATAGAATTTGTTTAGTTGTAACGGTATGTCTTTCATAACATTATTTTTCAACCACCTCTATTGTCCAATCTCTTTCCTTGGATGACAATTCGGTGTGTCAGTCAAATTTCAATTCGAGTGTCACTTGCTACCTGAATTTTGTGTCAACGAGACAAATCAGGCGTCTAATATCAATTGTAGCAAAGTCCGCTTTCCTAAATTTTCCACTACACAACAAAATCTATTTAAAAATTATTTTTTCTACTACGTGGAAAGCGTAAAGTTGTATTTTTTTTTTCACTAGTGCGTAAAGTGAAAGTTATTTTAATGAAAAAAAAGTAACTTTTTAAAATCTACACATCAAAGAATGGCATGTAGAAAAACAATCAAAACTAGTATTTATTTAGATAAAATTGAACTTTATCATATAATTATAAAATAATTTATTTTTATTATTAAAATAAATATGAACAAAAATTTAAATTAAAAATAAAATATTTTAATATACCTATATTTATTTATCCTAATAGGCCCATTGGCTTGATTACAAGGATAATTACGAATATTAAATAATTACAACATACGTTCATACTAATACATATTTTTGAAGATACCAGAAATACCGAAGTTAAATAATTATTACTTAAATGGATATGTTTGAAATTTTTGCCATTATTTTTATGAATGTTTTACATTTTGCGTACCAGTCTATATCCTCTAAATTATTTATACTATTGGCTAAACGAAGCATAATCAGGAGGGGGCCCTGGATGTAACTGTGACAAAAAGAATAATAAAAATATATTTCAGTTATTCACTGGACGTGATAAAACACAAAATGGTATTAGACCTATCAGATTTGAAAAACATATTTTATGGTTTATTATTGTCGTGCGAGCCGTTTTAAATCATTCCGCTCCTTCCTCCGTGTCGCCAGTAGTCAGGCCTAATGAAGATTCTCGAGTTGCCACAGCCATCCAAATTTTATCCCATCGGTAACGAGAATCATCTGTAAACTTCGAGAACCAGTACCGTGTCGTCGAATTTTCATATAAATAGCGCGACTGTATCGATAGAAGTTAAGTTGAAGTTTAGAAATAGTTGAAGATAAGACATTTGAATTGTTAGATAAATTAGATTATAAGTGAAGTATAAATAAATTATAAATGATAAACTGTTTTAAATAAACTCTACATTATTTTATATAAAAATAAGGTACATATGATTGTGTGTAGTTATGGTCGTTTCAAGAACGGGTATTTTAAACTCTTCTTAATTGTACTGTTCTAACAAGATTGTAATCATGTCTGGTATGGTACCTTTTAGTGAAGACATATTAAGAATTTATTTTGTATTTTCTCTAAAAGTAAAATCTAATTTTGAACGAATTAATGAAAGATATAAAATTATTAACAAATTAATATTAGAAAAAGGCTGCGTTTGTCTCATTAAAAATCCCAGGGTACGATTTGCTGATTTATGCGCATCTCGTGCGTCGCAACTCGGGCGGAATCCTTAATTTTTCGCATTTCGGGCGGAAGGCTACAGGTAGATTAAATACCCTTCGCAACTCGGGCGTTCAAGGATCGGTACCTGAGAAGGTGCTTTCGGCTTAAACTTAAAATTATATACAGAGTGCCGTACAGGAGGAGCTTGCCAGTTTTTAAATAATGCGAACATAATCTTTACATTACATTGTTATGACATTTGAAATTGTAGTTTTTACTGAAAAAAGTGTAATTTATTTATTATATAATTAGATTGATAAATAATAGTGTACCTACCTCGGCTAGCTAATCAATTTTTATTTTAATACATTTTTTATGTAGGGTGTCTGTGTAAGTTGGCTACATATGGAAAACTTTTTTTTATTAGTTTTATCAAAAAAAAAATTATTTAGCATAAAGAGTTGTGGATGGTCTAAAACCTAAAATACATCACATTTTTGAGCCGTATACTAGGATAGTATATGGAAAACTTTTTTTTATTAATAATTTTATGAAAAAAATGTCCTCATAAAAAATTGTGCGTGATCTCAGACCTTAAAATACAACCATCATATATCAAATTGTATAAGTCGTATACGAGGTTTGTCAAAAATGAATGTACTTTACTCTTGGCCAAAAATATTTTTTTTGACAAATCGTATACGACTCATAAAAATTGATATCTAATGGGTGCATATAAGGTTTTAGACGTTTAGTTTATTTTTTAAACTAAATATATACCTTATTTGAATATTAATTATTTAACTATATTTTAATATTATATTTAAACGTTGTTATGTAACTAAAAGTTAATCATTTTGTTAAATATATATAACATGTAAAATATTGTATTTCAACCTTTTTAACGTTTGGTTAATAATGTAAACCAAATATCTACGTTAATTTAATATTAATTATTCTAGTTTATTTTAATATTCTTTTTAAATGTTATTATGTAATTGTGGTTTAACCGAAAGTTGGATATTAAGATACATACACGTTTAATATTAACGTTTCTTTAAATTACATAAAACTCGTAATTAAAACGTTTTTGTATCGAAACACTTTGACGTTTTGTTTATATTTTACCTAAAAATATTAATTATTCTACTTTATTGCAATCATATTTTTAAACATTTTCATTGATTATACTTGAAATATTAAGTTGGTTTATGTTTGTTATGTTGTAAATGGCCAAGATTTGAAAATTTTCTCATTTGTAAGAAGATAAAGAAGATGGGTTATGTTGTAGTCATTTTATTTTAAGTACTATAATTTTATATTAGAGAAAACCATATATTCTAAATAATTGGAAGTTTGCGTCTGTTGTTTGATACATTTCTGAAATATCAGTATGTTATATTTCTGATAGGTTTCAAATTATTATTTATAAAATATATGAAATATTACATTTACAGGATATTTTTACAATTTAGGAATGTTTTAGAAATGTTTCTGAGGCGTTTCGTAATATTTATATATTATTTTATCATATTCATGATTTCCTTAAAATGGTCCGTGTTCGAGAATTTTGACAAAAAGTACAAAATTCGAATTTTAAAGAAAATTCTTCAAATAAAAGTTGCTTACAATGTAATTCTCTATAATTTTTGTTCCATACATTTCTCTAAAATAGACCGAATTCGGGAAATTTGAGGTAAAGTGCAAAATTCGAATTTTTCTCATTTTCACTTATAATACCCCTAGTGACCAAATTATTTTCGGAAATATTTTAGAAATCGCCAATAATTTGAAAATGATCCCAATATCATGCTCTATATTTTTTATTCTACACATGATTTCTCTAAAATAAACCGTAATGGAAAAATCTTCAATTTTTTTACATTAACTAACTTTTCAATGCTCGCTATCTGTTAAAATGAAAGCTTATTCTGCGATGTCATTTATTTCTCTTAAATTTTCGATAATGCATTACTACCTGAATCAGATTGTAATCAGAATCAGGGTACATAAACTATGGTCAAATTTCATATCCCGTCGACGCCCGAGTTGCGAACTCACAGGTGCACAATTTTGGAGGGCGCCCGAGATGCGACGAATTCAGGTAGTTTTATATTACGCCCGAGTTGCGAACGCACGAGTTGAGAAAGTACCGATTTGCTGCTATACAAGTATACTCAATATGTATGGAAAATGATAATTTTGTTACTCCAAATCCTTAGGGCTTTTTTAATGACACACTATTAATTTGATAGTCAAATATAATTGGTTGCTTTTGTCGGATAATAATCATAAAATTCCAATGTACATTTTAATTTCATTTTGCAAATAAACGCAATCGCAATTTGTTTATAAATTTTATAATCGTCAGCATAAGTAAGCCTCTAATATATTTAATCACTTTCAGCAAATCATTGAGAAAAAAACAAAAACAATGAGCCAATATTAGAGCCTGATGTCTCATTTGTATAATTTGTAAAGATAAATAAATGAATCCATGCCGCTCCTCAGCAAAGCTATTTGCTAAGAAATTATGATTTGCAATTTCCCTTAAGAAAATTATGAAAAATACAGCATTATATCCCTATAGTGAAAACAAACCAAAGAAAAATTGAAAAAATCTGAGAATTAAAGAAAAAAAAGAGAATCAGCCAGGACCGCTACTATTATTATTTGCCGTGGTGCTCCAAGGCGACTTAAATTTGTCCACTGTAAGCAGCTAAGAATGATGTTGTTTTGAAATCGCCTCCAAAAAAGCGTCTTCGTACAAAGAAAGTAACTAATACAAGAACTCTACATACAAGTACAATTCGAGATGTTATTTACAACATGTATGAAGCTAGTAAGTGTAGATTATTAATTTTATATCATATAATTATAAATACCTATATATTTTTTTGCAGACGAACACGTAACTTTGGATTCTTTATTAGAAAAATTGAAAGAAAAAGAATTGTTTAATGGATGCCGCATGTCATTATGCACCTTATTAAAAGATATTGGTTTTAAATGGAAAAAAGATGATCCAAGGCGAGGGCTTATGGAACTTTCCGATGTTGCTGCGAAAAGGGCTGTATTTTTAAGAAATTATATAAAAGAAAAGGAAGGTTTATTTCAGTTTGTTTTTATTGATGAGACGTGGATTTTTCAAAATGAGACTATAAATCGTTCTTGGCAAGATAAAAACAAAAGAAGTGTGAAAACCACAAAAGTTGATGGTAAAAGGTACGTAAATAATTACTAGAATATAGCTACATGCTTCAGTTGAAATTTTTATTTATAGGTACATTATACTCAATGCTGGAAATGAAAATGGGTACATTGAAGGAGCAGGGGCCATATTTGTGTCACAAAGTAAGCTGAGTTATCATGGTGAAATGAATAATGAGAATCTTTTAAAATGGTTTGAAGAACAATTACTGAAAAAACTTAATGAACCATCCTTAATCATAATGGACAATGCTTCATATCACAGTACATTGTTACATAAAACACCAAACGCTAGCTGGACAAAGATTAAAATACAAGAGTGCTGACAAATCAGATTTTCATTTGCTATTTTTAAAGTGGAACTTCTGAATCTTGATGCACAGTCAGTAAAAGAAATGTTTCGTCTGTAATTTCTCAATTACTTTTTTTTTAAATAAACTACCAAAAATGTACATGGCTGATCTTCTAGCAGAACAATACATACATAAAGTATTAAGCCCCCTTATTTGGGGCATTACAATGCAATATTATAATAGACATATTGGTCGAGATGGTAAAAAAGAGAAGATTGTTTAAATATGTGATTAGAAGCACTCCCGGCCATAACACCACAAATTTGGAAAAAAGTATCAGCCATACAGAAAAAGAAATCTCAAAATGGTACGATAGAGAGATAATAATTGATAGAATAGAAATTGCTCCAATTATTATTACACCAAACATCGATATAGTGATTTCAGTAGCGATGAATCTGAATAACAATCTCAACAGACGTCGAAAGAGACATTGTTACAATTATGGTGATGATTTGGAGTTACTGAGTGAAATATAAACTAATAATATAATCAATTGCAGTACTGTACTGTAATAATAATTGTATTCTTTAGTTTACCTTTTATTATTTGTTTAATATTTACTTTGTTATTTGTATAGGAATTTTATATAACTAACAATATGTAAAATAAAAGTCATTATGTCTTGAAAAATATTTGTTTTTATTTTTTGATACCCAAATATTGTTCTGGTAGTTAAAATAACTGCAACATTATAATAATGCTTCTACATACATTAATATAATCCCATAAAGCAAATTTTGATATTATTTTTTAAACATCTTACTCAACTGATGTTCTTAATAGATTCATGCTTATACTACTGACTGGTATTTCATATTGGCTAACATCACAACGATTTACAGCTGCTTTTCTTTTCTGTAGCTACAATTGTCGGAACTTTCAAAGATTCCCCAATTATGTTTAAGGCTCGATTACAAAGAATAGACTCGTCTTACGAAAATTTACTAAGAGAGCTTTTTTGTGGGGAATTTAATTTCCTACAAGGATAAGAGATGGAATAATTTTTTAAAATTGACCAAGTCCGAAATTTATGCAAAAACGCGAGAACTGTTGCAAAATCAATAACTGCAATGATGCACCTCTTAATATTATTATTAAGGGCTCAAACTTTCAGGAAAATTTTTTTTTGTCGTCATGAACAATATTTTCATAGTTCCACTAAGAAAAAAAATTGTTTTATTTTTTTGGCCCAGTCTAATATACAGTTGTCAAATTATTAAGGCGGTTTTCTGGCACTTTTCCATACACCGAAAGGTAAGTCATTGGGTAGTTCCCAACTAGAATATCGAGATTAAAATTGTAGACAGAAACTATAACTCAGATATTCTGGGTCAATGATCTTAGGTAACTATGATTTTGTAGATGACCTATGCAAACTGCAAATGCGTATACCTGCTTAACATAAATTTTTAAAATTTAATCACTTTAATTTGTGTTAATATCTACATGTATTTCAATCACACCCTGTATACTAGGTGTGGAACAAATCCAAACTTTTAAACACCACCCCGTATTTTCTCATACTTTCTGTTTATATTATTTGTTGGTAAAACAAATAAGACTTGTTTGACATCGCTATACGAAAACCTGAAGTAAAAACTTCTATGATATTTATGCTTTTCTTACCCCGTTGTAACAAATCCCCAGAAAGCGAAGCTTGTGTTAAATTAAAATTGCAATACAATCAGTTAATTATCATTAAATACCGCATTTTTATTGTTAATATTTATGTTATTGTTAATGGACTTACATCGACTTGGTCATCGTCAAATAAAAGCCAAAATCCGTGGCTCTTAACGATGCTTATATAATGTCCTCTATTAGGTCCGCTACCACAGTGTATCACAACAGCTACAAGATCATAAAGTCTATCTGGATTCAGTGCATCATCCGACTAAAAATAAATAAAAACAAAACTTACTGTAACCATAAAATTATAATAAAAATAAATTAATTCTATATTTCTTTCAAAGAATATAACGTGACTAGACCAGTGCTTCTCAACCTTTTATTTGTTGCTTAATCTAAGCAAAGAGCGGATTTTAGTAGCAACATTTATTTTTGAGGTAACTAGACTATTCATGTTTATAAATCTCGGGGTGATAATAATAAAAAAACTCTCCCTACAATTCACTCCCTAATCCGTCTGATATAATAAGAAGATTGAGAATCGGTGGTTTAGACAGTTCATAATAGCAAACTTACCGTATTAAATAGCCTAAGTTCTAAAGGAAAGACCACTCTGTGAGAAACTTTAATATGCCTATTGTACTGCTCCATGTACTTGAACCTCTTCAGGTGCAGCGCAAGTATCATGGGTAGTTTTTTGACGCGCATCCTCTTCTGCGCCTCCTGGTAACTGCTGCAGTTATCACATTTGAATTTATTATCGCTACACAAGGTTTCGGTGTTGCTGAAACACCTCAGACAATGCGTTATGCTAGTGTTCTGTTCGATGTCTACTTGCAGATCGAAAAAATCCTCGTCCTTGCTGCTCACATTCTCGCAGTTCAAACACCTCGTCTCACTGGTCAATATACCCTAAACGAATAACATAAATGAGTATTTCAGTTTCTTTTTGTCGAAATAATTGTGTTAAATTAAGGATTTTCCATATTCTCAAGGCTGCCAGAATGAAAATGACAAATCGTACTAATTTATGTACTAATTTTTTTAAAAAGTACTGAATATTAACTGTTAAAAATCGATAAAGTATTTTACTCAGAACTTCCCTCGATATAGAAATTATTAAGATAGGGAACTCCTAAGCACTTAAATTTTAATAATTTAAAATTAAAACTACTAAATCAAAAACCCCTTTTCACTTAAAAATGCCGCATTTTTAACTCTACATCTAATATTTTTGTTGACTTTGGAACTGCAGCTGTATGGATGGCTTTACCTATTTGTCAAGTATAGAGTTTAGAACCATCCTTGGTATATTTTCAGACCTTAAGCGGTGCAGCTGATATTTTATTGCACTTTAATTTCAAGTGTTACAGAGTTGCGGTGTAATTGCCGCAGCGCGCCTTATTATGTAAGTAATTTTTGCTAAATATTTTTCTGTAAAGATCACTTAGGGGAACTGGGGGATAGTTGATCATCAGGAATACATGATCATATTTTTGTTTAAAAAAAAAACTACAAGTTTTTCCAAAATCACAAATCTCCAGGAAAAGGTAAGCAGTCCGGCAACCCTGCATTCTCTTCACACACAGCTCAACTGACATTTCGGGGATTTACAGTTGGTTGTTTAGTTTGGTGGTATAAACATAAATAATTTAGTGTGCTGTATTTGTTTTATTGCAAAGTAAATATTTTAGTTTTTGCAATTTATACATCTGCAATCTCAATGGTGTTTGAGTAATTGATCATTATATTGCTATTGCTGTTTATATTTAAGGTAAGTTAAATTTCATTTTCATTTGCTGTGTCCTTAAAGGGATACTTGATCACTCTCCTAAAAGAGGGATACTTGATCAGATGATCAAATAATATCCCATTGCATTTTTTTTTGCGGAAAACGCAAATTTACAACTTTTGAGTTTGTTTATAAGGTGTTTTTTTCGCAGATGCCAAGGTTTTATAAAAGAAAGGAAGGTTCATCACCTAGAATAAAGATAAATGAAAAAACTATGAAAAGAGCTGTCCAGGAAGCATTAAGAAAAGAAAGTCCAATAAAAGCAGTGGCTAGAAAATATGGGATCGACAGAATGACTCTTAAAAGGTACATGAAGAAGTATGAGACGAATCCAGATTATAAAAAACGGGTAATATTTTCACAAGAGAGAGAAGAGGAATTTGCAGATTATTTGAAATCAAGTGCAAAAATCAACCATGGCCTCACATTGAGAAAAATCAGGGAATTAGCATACGAAATAGCAGTTCGAAATGATATTCCAAAGCCGAAACAATGGGATGACAATTGCTGGCATAGATTGGACTCAGGGGTTTATGCACCGCAACAATACTCTTTCTCTAAGAACTATAGAAGCTGGTCTTAGTAGAGCAACTAGCTTCAACAAAAGCAATGTTGGTAATTTTTTTAACAATTTAAAAGTTATTATGGATAGAGAAAAATTAAATGAAGATAATACATGGAATGTGGATGAAACAGGCTGTACCATGGTACAAAATCGTAAGAAAATCGTGGTTCCGAAAGGCCAAAGGCATGTTGACCAAATGACATCAGCCGAAAGAGGACAACTAATTACTGTGTGCTGTACAACGAATGCATCTGAAAATAGTACTCCGCCATTTATGGTATTTTCTAGAGTCAATTTAAAGGCATTTATGCTGACTGGTGCTCCTGAAGGATCCGCTGGAGCCGCTAATGTGCCTGGGTGGATGTCAACTGATACATTTTATATGTATCTTCAACATTTTGCTACTCACGCCAATGTTTCGAAAGATAGAAAAGTCCTTATCATGGATAACCATGATAGTCACATTTCTATTAAATCTTTAGACTTTTGTAAAAATAATGGGATTATTCTGCTGACGTTGCCACCCCATTGTAGCCACAAATTACAACCACTTGATGTGGCTGTTTTCGGGCCATTTAAAAATGCATATGACCAAAATGCAAATGAGTGGATGTCGCAAAATCCCGGTAGAGTCATAACAATATATGACGTCGCCCAAATTATTGGGAAAACTTATCGATTGGCTTTCTCTACTTCAAATATCAGAAGCAGTTTCAAGAAAACTGGAATACACCCTTACAATCCATTAATATTCAAGGATGAGGACTTCTTGACAGCATACATTAATGACCGTCCTCAACCTGATCAAGTTCCTGCTGAAAACGAAAGTACAGAATCCAGAACCTACTCGACTTCAGGATAAAGTAAACCAAACACCCCCAGGGGCAAGTGGATTAGGTTTACGTTCAAAATCCTCCAATTTTCTTATTAGTCCCGTTGAAGTTAACCCATTCCCTAAAGCAGCACCCAGGAAAATTAACAGAAAGGGAAGAAAGAAGATAAAGTCCGCAATATTAACGGATACACCAGTAAAAGAGAAAATAATTTAAAAGAAAGTGAGGGAAAAAGAACTGACAATGCAAACAAAAGGGCTGTAGCAAAACTGAGCAAAATTGAAAAAGTAAAGAGAAAAATTGTATCGTCTCCAAGTTCTTCAAGTGACGGGAAACTCTCGTTGGGAGAATCAGACGATTATTCAATTGATTTTGAAGATGAGCTTGAGGAACTGCTTCCTGTAAATATCGGTAATTTCAAGAAGGGGAAACTTGTACTCGTACGATTCAAAGGAGGCCAAAGCCTGTCATCGACATACAAATATTTGTATGTGGTTGATAATGATGGTGATTGCAGGGTTATTGCTTTGAGATGTGCAGACAAAAGTAAAAAAATCTTTTCATTTGCAGATTCCGACATCAGTGACGGTCCATTTGAAGACATCATTGGATTAGCCCCTGATCCAAACATTACTTTAAAAGGAGCAAGAATGTATTAAACATTTCCAAGCATTTTTGAAAGGGGTTAAGAATAATTGTATGCATTTGTTATATATATATATATATATATATATATATATATATATATATATATATATATATATCTTACTATAGATAGAGCGTCCGTACATTCTTAAATCGCATTCATTGGAGCGTCCAGGTATTTAGAGCGTCCGTATATAGACGCTCTAAGACGGTGCCCATTAAAAATTTTTCCAGAGGTCTATAATGACGTCAGAAACGTGATGGCAAAATTTTTGAGAGACGCCAAAATGATGAAAAAATGCATGAAAATAATACGGCTCGCGTATACTTTAGTTCAATACTATTGCTACCAGAGGCACTTGCAGCGCTGATGTATATAGAAAGTATACGATTTCCTTGATACCCATTCGATTCTAGAGCGTCCACTGACTTGGCATCGTTGCTTTGGAAGCTAATGTTGTAAAATAAATTAAAGTTGATTTAATAATCTTAGTTGGCCTGGTAGAAGTCTTAGTATATTATAAAATTTCTCTCAAGAAGCCGTCCGTCCATCCGTCCGTCATTTTTTGTGAGCGTTTAAAGGGGATTGAAAATTCAAAAAATCGTAAATCAAAAACGAAAAACAATATCAACTTGAAATTTTTAAGAAAAATCAAACTCTATAAGTGGACAAAATGTATTGATTATGAAAAAAATCTAATAAACAATGGGGGGTTTAAGGGGAGTTAAAACTTTAAAAAATCATAAGTCAAAACCGAAACATATCAACATGAAGTTTTTTAGAAAAATCAAGCTCTATAAGAAGACAAAGGCTATAAATTAAAATAAAACGAATAAAAATTGGAACTTTAAAGGGAGGGGGGGTGGATTTGAAAAAAATATAAATCAAAATTGAAAAACAATATCAACTTTTTTAGGAAAAATCAAAGTCTATAAATCAAGCTCTATGAGGGGACACCGAATATTGATTATCAAAAAAAATCTGATTAAAAATGGGGGATATAAGGGTGGGGGTGGAAACTTAAAAAAACATTATAAACCAAAATCGAAAAACAATATCAACTTGAAATTTTTAGGAAAAATCAATTTTAAGAAAAATCAAGCTCTATAAGGGGACGAAGCATATTGATTTTGAAACAATCTGGTTAAAAGTGTTCAAAAAAAATCATAAATCAGAAACGAAAAACAACTTGATATTTTTAAGAAAAATCAAACTCTATAAGTAAACAAAGTCTGTTGATTATGAAAAAATCTAAAAAACAATGAGGGTTTAAGGGGGGTTAAAATATAAAAAATCATAAGTTAAAACAGAAACATGATAACAACATGAAGTTTTTAAGAAAAATCAAGCTCTATAAGAAGACAAAGGCTATTGATTAAAAAAAAACGAATAAAAATTAGGGATTTAAGGGGAAGGGGGGTGAAATTTAAAAAAAAATCATAAATCAAAATTGAAAAACAATAACAACTTGAAATTTTTAAGAAAAATCAAAGTTAATAAGTTGGCGATGTCTAATGATTAAGAAATAAATTTTGATAAAAAATGGGTGGTTTATGAGGGGTTGAAACTTAAAAATCATAAATCAAAAACGAAGCATGATATCAACATGAAATTTTCAGAAAAATCAAGCTCTATAAGGGGACAAAGACTATTAATTAAAAAAAATACAATTAAAAATGTGTGAATTAAGGAAGGGGGAGGGGTTGAAACCTAAAAATAAATCATATCAAAATTGAAAAACAATATTAACTTGAACGTTTTAAAAAAAATGAAACTCTATAAGTGGACAAAGCCTATTGAAAAAAGTGTGGGATTTAAGGGGGGGTTAAAAAATCATAAATCAAAAACGAAACATGATATCGAAATGAAATTTTTAGGAAAATCAAGCTCTATAAGGGGACAAAGACCATTGATTAAAAAAAATCCGATTTAAAATGGGAGGTTCAGGGGGGAAACTTAAAAAAATAAAAAAGAAAAAAAATATCAACTTAACATTTTTAATAAAAATCAAGATTTATAAGAGGACAAAGCCTATCGATTATAAAAAAATCTAATAAAAAATGGGGGGTTGAAGGGAAGTTAAAAAAAATCATATGTCAAAAACGAAACATGATATCATCATGAAATTGCTCTGTAAGGAGACAAAGATTATTGATTTAAAAGAAATCTGATTGCAAATAGGAGGAGTAAGGGGGATTGATTAGGAAAAAATCAAATTATTATTATTATTATATGATGTCATCGGCTTCAACTACTAATGGTTATATCGCCTCGTTTCTGTGCAGGCTTTGTTATTGTTTCCCAGCGCCACTTTAGGAACAGCACTGTTAATTAGAACCCGACAATGAGTGGTCGAGTAGGAAATCCTACCAAGGCATCAGAATTAATTTTAAATAAATTAATTAAATAAAAAAATCCCGGCCAACGGTGGAATTCGAACCTGGAACCATTATGTCCACAGGCAGGGACTCTACCACTGAATGGTATTGATATCCCTATGACATTTAACGAATTGATTATAAAGGGCCAAATCCAACTTATTATTATGCGTCAGGCAAATTCTTGATTTAAAAGGAACTGCATTCCTTGTATTGTAGCTATGATAATTATTATTCGAATCCAATGAATTACGTTTTTTAAAAATTTCTTTTAATGATTCCAGTATATACAGACAAGGCAATGGAAGAATCACGTACCTTTTAAATAGCATGTCGAGTTCTGCACCGTCAATGATCCTCAAGGCAGCTTTTTGGAGAATAAAAGCCTTCTGAGAGTGATAACTGCCGCCCCAGAACATGACACCATAATTCAGATGGCTATATATGATTGCATAATAGACTATTCTTAGTACTGATTTTTCTGAAAAACTCGATATTTGCCTGAGTGCAAAAATTTGGGACGCCAATTTCGAACAGACATTGTCTACATGGTGCGACCAATTTAAACCGGCATCGAGCATTACTCCTAGCAGGTTTACTGACCCAGCTACTTTGACTTTACTAGATGAAAAAGTAACGTTTTGAGTTTTGACATTATTTAACTTTAAATCGTTTGCAGCAAACCATTCATTAGAGGACGGTAAACAAGTTCTGCTCGAGATCGTGTCATCTTTGGATAGGATAGTCGTATCATCTGCGAACATAACACTAGTACAGTGTTTCATGATACGCGGTAAGTCATTAATATATATTAGAAATAGAACAGGGCCCAATACAAATCCCTGTGGAACCCCTCTTAAAATGGGAGCCAATTGTGACTCCACATTATCGAGAAACACGCACTGTAATCTGTTCGTCAGATATGAAAAAAATATGGCAAGTTCCTTTCCCCTTATGCCATAGTACTCCATTTTTTCCAAAATAATATCAATGCTTACACAGTCGAAGGCCTTAGTGAGGTCACATAATACCGCAGTAGTACTCGAGCTCTCGTCAAAGCCACCGACTATGTAATCAATTACTTTTGCGACTGCTCCTATTCTAGATCTATGCCTTCTAAACCCAAATTGGGCTGGCGAGAATAAATTTTTATTTTCAAAATAGTTAACTAATTTCTCTTTTAGCTTTACTTCAAATATCTTACCGATAACAGGTGTAATGGCAATTGGCCTATAATTATCAGCATCATAAGAATCACCTTTTTTAAAAAGTGGCAAAACCTTACTAATTTTAAGTTGGTTAGGCCAATTTCCTTCGATTATGCATTGGTTATATAAAATATTAAGTGAATTAATGAGGGATTCTATAGAGGCCTTAATCATGGGACTACTGAGGCCATAGTAATCCGTGCATGGCGTATTTTTAATATGAAGTATAGCCTCTCTTACGTCAGATTCAGAGACTGGACCCATAAAAAACGAATACGGGGGCTTCGGTGTTATTTTAATAAAATCATTAGAGGAAATATTATTATCGTTTTCGATTGTTTGAATAACCTTCTCTGCTACATTGAAGTCTTCAGATGTTAGATTCGATGTACTGGATGATTTGTTGTTGGATTTTCTTTCTGCGTTTACAATATTCCAGATTGTTTTATTTTTATTTTCTGATGCAGCTATTCTTTTATTGTAAGCGTTACGTTTCTCTAATCTAATTGACCTCCTATAGTTTTTGCGCGATTCAGAATATAGTCTTCAATCTTCTAACGAATTGGTTTTTTTGAATCTAGATTTGTTTTGAAATACTTGATTTCGCTGTACCCGCAGTTCCTCATTAAACCACAAAATCTTTTTGTCACCACTGCGAATTTTTTTTATGGAAAAGCATAGATCTACAATAGGACATAGAATAGTAAATATTATATTACAAATCTCCTGGGAGCAGTAATTTCCCATTTCTAGTCCATGCCAACTAATTTCAGATAACTTTTCTGCGAACTGTAAAATTGTACGTTCATTAATAAATCTTTTGTTGACATAACTGGTATCACTTAAAATATTAAAGTCTTTTATCTCCAAAAATAAAGTCAAATGGTCGGCTATGTCGGCATCAATGACTTTTGATATTATAACTTCCGGATTTATATTGGAAATAATATTGTCCAAACATGATTTAGAAGTGGGAGTTATTCTAGTTGGAACTGTGATGTAATGTTTCATACCATACATATTTAATATAATAATTAAATCAAGCGAATGCTAATTTAAACTATTAGAATCAACATTAAAATCACCGATAAAAATTAGGTTTTTAAATTTTTTATATAAATAATTAAATTTAGAAAATACGTTTTGAATATTGATATGTCCCCATGGGAGGAGGATCTGTACACTGTTACTAAGGCATAATTTTTATTTATCAATTCTACACCACAGAATTCTGCATAAAAAGGCTGGCAAAATTTTGAAACGTCAATAACTTTTAATGAAATATTATTCTTAGAAAAAAACAATAATAATAATAATAATAATTAAAAACAATCAGAATTAAATTACAATCAATATTGCATAACTAAATTATTCACTTTCTGCCGCACTCTCTGCGCTACCGAAATGATAAATTAACGCTCTGCAGGTCTATCGTTATGTATCAAAATATATCTTTAACACAGTTAAACAAAAACTTATACTGCCTATCATTTAAATATATGACAACACCGCAAAACGCTAATTGACGCCACAAAAGCGGTCAAATATACGTAAATTTGAATATTGGTGACGCTGCAATGTGTATAAATTGAAATGACGCCCAGGTGTCGATAAAGTAAAAGTAACGATTTGTGTTTTCCTTTCAATTTAATGTTATCCGCCTAATTTAAGCTGCTTCTTCCAACAGCAACGAGTATATATGTCTAAAATAAGTAGATCAAGGATAAACAGACATGGGCGCTTTAAAGCGCATCTTTATCGGGACGCTTCAATGATACAGAGATGTAAATATATATATATATATATATATATTCTTTATCTGTGAGTTTTGTTAGAATAAACATTTAATTTCTGTTCTATTTATTTTTTACTTGATACTTTTGCAAAAAAAATAACCAAGGTTGCTTATTGGTTTATAAACGACATTATCAAATCATGTAAATAAATGTTAGTACAATTATGTATTTACTTTTGTTCTACCTTCTTGGTTATATTTCCATAGATTTTCAAGGAAAAGTAAATCTGTGATCAACTATCCCCCAGTTCTCCTACTATTTTGAACTTTGAACGTAAAGTACAGAAGATGTGTTTTTATGAAAAACCTCACCATGATCGTTATGGAGGACCATTTAAAAGACACTCACTTGAGTCACTACCAAAAGGTATTTAAACTTTTTTATTAAAATGTAAAAACAGTGATGTACTCATTCAAGATCCTGGAATTTGTTACATATGTGAGAAACATAAGCATAATAGAAAAAAATGTGTTGTCAAAAATGCAACAGAAACGTCTGAAAAAAAGCACAATACCTAACATAAATGTTGAATGCCTTTAATGTCAAAATCTCCAGACAATGAAAGAAAACTAGCAACTATTATATTTTTGTATATCTATAGTAACTAGTTCAATTTAATTTATTTTTCTTATTATTTTTAATATTATATTTGTATGTATTGCATTACTTTAGTATATTTTGGTATGTTATTTTTGTAAAATAAATTTAGTTTGAATGCAATAAGTTTTAGTTCTGCATTTAATTAATTATTAGAAGCCTTCCTCCTAAATACAATTAGTTATATTTTAATTTTAAGCAAAATAAAGCTAAATCTCCAAATGCGGTGTTAATGCCGCGGCACGCCCAGTCTTGAAAGTCTGATTAGCGTGTTTATACTAGGTAGAATGAATATGAAATATATCCGTTCAGTTGAACGCAATGGCATACTTTTTCATTTCGTAGTCTATGCGTAGAATAGCTAATATCCATGTGAGTGGAAAAAAATGATTATCTTGTTGTTTTACGATCATTAAACTATATAATTTTTATATTATATAAGACAAAAATCTTATTCGTTTTACTCTTCAAATTGCAGCCAACAAACGAACAATCTTTCTATATCATTGACCCTGTCAAATCTACTAAGCCGACAGATTTGTCATATCATGCCCACAGGCAACAATTTTGTTTAGAATGACCAATACGTAACTTTATTTAAAAAATGTCAATTATATATCCTCTTCTTTAAACTATCAAATAGTACTGAAAATGGTACCGAATTGACTGTTTATAAAAAAAGTACTAAAACTAATAAATAACGTAAAACTAACGTACTGAAAATTTTGAAAAAAGTACTGAGTGTAATGAATCTGGCAGCCCTGCATATTGTTTATAATAGAGTTTCAAAAATCATAGATAATTTTATAGACAGAAATTTAAGTATGTGAAAAGGTTGTAGTAATTACCTGAAAAATCTCATGCACCCACGTAGGCTCCGGAGAACTATGGGCAGTACCATTCTCGCCTGAAGCTTTTGATTTCACATTATTTGTAGTAGAATTTTGCTGCCTCTCAGCTGAAAATTAAATATTTTTGTCTTTTCACATAAAAATTCAAGTATGTGATAGAATCTGTTCCATTAGAAAAAGTACAGAGGCGTCATAGATGACGACAATCGCAAAAACTAAATTTTGACTTGTTTACCTAGCAACGATCACCTGAGTTCATAGCGCTTAATAATTAGTAGACGCTTAAAAGAGGTTTGAGGTTGTGTTTGGAATAGTTTAATTGTAAAATATTTGAGTATTTTAAGACCACATTTTCGATGATACTGTAGACTTTGTAGTAAATACAAACTCGTCTGATGAATCTATTTAATAATAATAATATCTTTATTCGCTAAAATTTTGATTTTACAAAAAAGATAGTTTCGTCAGTCCTGTAGTCAAAGGAATGACTGCAGGAGTGACAGCATTATATTTTGTAATGGGTCTGTAATTTTAATAAAACATTTAACCAGGATGTTCTTAATTTTGCCCCAAGCATTCATAAATAAACAATTAGGAGGAAAAGAATTTCAAGTAAATTTAAATAGTATTTAAAAATATAAACGTCTTGATGCTTAATTTTTAAGTAAGGATAGTAGTTTATTGAAACCAATTTACCAATGATAATCCAAAATGTATGGAGTCATCCAAAAAAAATATTTTATGTACAATAATAAAGTAATCTGTAAGTGACAATTTCTTCATTAAATAAAACATCCTGACAAACCCCTATAAATTTATTTTCAGATTTCAAGCTTGCACACTTTTTTAAAAAAACGTCTAATCCGAATTAATAAGAGTAGGCTCCTGTATAATATGTTGGTTTTTGTATACTCTATTAAGGTATTTGGAAGGATTAAATCAAAACTAATATCAAATAATGAAAAAAAAATATTTTACAAATTAAATTTATGTTAATTTATTTATAGAAAATCGTTACGCTACCTAAGTGACACCAGCTATACTTTTCTCTAATGGAATAGACTCTAGAACAACAAAGACAGGTACAACCATTGAGATAGAATAAAGAGGAGATATGATAACTCTAAGTGTCCGCACCTTTGCGTTACATTTTTACGTCATGTGTCAAACTTGAGCTAGCGAAGCTGGTCAGTTTTGGTGAGAATAAATGCAATATTTTTAAAGTAGCTGCATTGAAATGATATATAAACATTTTCATTCCGTCAATCTTTAAATATAAAATTACTGACTTCAAATAAATCAAAGTCGCCATTTTGATTACACTTTTCTTTTAGTTAGACCCTATTATTAAATTTGACCAAATTTTACCAAATTTATATGGGACCACCCCTGAGATACCCCCTTTCTAACAAAAAAGGATTATAGAAATCGGACAACGTAGTAAAGAATTATCGCTGAACATACATAAAAAAAATATGCCGACGAATTGAGAATGTCGTCCTTTTTTGAAGTCGGTTAAAAATAGAGAAACATTGTTTTCAAAGTATATATTTTTGTTTTCAATTCACCAAACAATCTGAGATCAATACTATTAAACAAAACATAAACACACATCATTATCGCCAGAGAAAAGTATTCAGCATTGGCATAGTATTTAGCTGTTTTTTAAGATTGCGGTGTCCACTGGCGTATCGGGGACAACACTAATGATAATGTGTGCGCATGTCGTATGCGTTTTATTTGTACATCGGTCTCCTTTTGAGAGTAGGTGAGCTGTGTCCAGGCCGTTGGTGTTTATGCCGGTCGGCGTAGCCAGGTATGGATTGAAATATTCTGGTATCGACGACGCCGCCACCCTACGAGCAGTCGTTGCTTCGTCTTCTTGTTGTCACGGTATTATTATTTGTTCGTGTATGTGAAATTTGCTTCCAAGGTTTATAAAATATTACTGCTAGTCACGGCGTAAATAAAAACAAACAAGACGCATTCACACAAACACTTCTCACCACAGCAATTATAAATCATTAGTGTTGTCCCCAATATCCGAGTGCGGTGTCCTATTATGCAGTGGCGGCTTGTAAATTAATACACAGGGGGTGCCAGGCCAGTGTATCACGCTTATCGCAGATGCCCCGCAGGAGGCAAAACATTTTTGGATGCCACGCCCAAATTTTGATCGTCCCCAAACAAAAATGCATTTTTTTTAATACATCTACAAATCCAGTTATTTTAATAAATACATATTCCGATTAAATTTTTTATACGTCTGTTGAAGCTTGACGAAGTAGAGATGGAATTTTTCTGCGTTTTTGTGATTTTTAAATGGGGAAGAGGCTTTGCAAATTATTTGATTTGAATTTTGTCCTTAGACGTAAAAAAAAGGTTTCATAATCAAATTGCTTATTTTATTTGCCTCGGTCGATTTGTAAACAGTACCCAGGTAACCAGCTGACGTCACATGACCTTAAAATGACATTTTGACGTACTGGCCAGAACGTCAATTAAACGAACCAAATAGGACGTCATTTTAACGTTTAATAAAGGTCACTAATAGTCTTAATGTGAGAAATGTACAAAATTCCACATTCCACTATTTATATAACTAACCGATAATTACAAATTATTTATTTACCAGTTCATTGAAATTTATTGTTTGTTTAATATTTATATTACTGTAATAGACATTTTTGTAGTTTCCATCTTTTCGATTTTTAATAAATACGTGTTTTAGAAGTGTTTTATCACTACTTTAGAATTCTTGTTTGTAGTAAACATTTTTGCAGTTACCATATTTTCGATTTTTAATAAATATGTGTTTTAAAAATGATTAACATAGTTAAATAACAGTCATGTTTTTGTTTTTGACACCTATAAATATTACACCTAATTTTTTTTTTAAATTTTCTGTATTTTTAGGTTACTGGCTATTTGAAGAAAGCTTGATTGTTGCTAACCATTGGTTAAATTTTAATTGACGTCTAGACTAGTGATATTTCAAGTTTTATCACCATTACTACTCTCACCATCAATTAAAATGTAATGAACAGTTAACTTTAATTAAGTTTACTGCAACTGGTCATAAATATGTAAAATTATTTTGGTCATTGAAACGTCGGACTACCTTCTTGTAAGACGTACTTTTGACGTCAACTCATAACGTTAATTTGACGTATTAGGACGTCATTCGTCAGTGACTATCATAATAACGTCATTCGAACGTCATTTTGGAAGTCATCCTAACGTTAGTGATGACCAAATAATGAAGTACAAATGTCGTCAGATGATTTCCTAGGTATTTGTATTATTTATTATTATACAAAAAATAATAAAACATTCAACTTATATGGCCTGACCCACCCGCCCCCCGTGCAGTTACGCACAACGCGAACATGTAACTGAAATACTCAAAAAACTAATCCGAGCCACTCGACTATGTAGCCCCATTTAAACGTAACCGTTTTCAATATATTGCCATGCTAGCGGCCGGTCCGTTGTGAGATGTTTCTCGGACGGACTATAGTCCAGTGAGTCGAGTCAGTAGCTTAAATTATTTGTTGTGTCTTGGAATAATATGTTCTCTCTTCCGTGGAATAACACGACGCGAATTTATTCGTCGCCATCAAATGACACAATTAAAATTAATTTATATATGCATCGTTTAGCGGGTTTAGCCAATACCCGACATAAGAAATAATTATTAAACTAAAATAAAACAAATATTGACAGACATATTTTGTGCTAGTGCCACGGCCCTTTGGCCCCTTACGACAAGCCGCCACTGCTATTATGACGTAGATATTATTTCTGACAAAATAATTGTTTGATATTTTTATGCACGACACACATGATATTACTAATTAACTTTAATAATTTCACTGCCTTTTGAGAAATTTCTCAGATTACTGGTTAGATATTTGCAACATCTACCTTTGTTGTTGTTTTTTATTATATTTATATTTAATATTCTAATTAATTTGCATTTTAACATTTTATCTCTGTCTATTGTATCTTTTCATTACTACAGACAATTTAAAAAAAAATATTGGGACTAAATGGTGGGTAGTTAAACAACTTCAAAATTAAATCAACTATTTAATCATTAATCACATTTTTTTAGGGGAAATATCTTGAAAATTATCCCTTTATGAGTCCTTAATAAGGGTACATAAAGACATGAAAAACAAAAAAAATAAAATAATGTGTTTATACAGTTAGCTGACCCTTAGGACATTAAAACTTCCTATAAAATTTAGTAAAAAAAAATTAAATAATAAAAAAAATTATAACCAATAAGCATGTTTGGCTCAATCATCATATTATTATCAGTAATCCAATTATGGGTACTAAAAGTAATGGTTGAATATGTAAATTTAATTCAGACAGCATTTTTTACCAATATGTATAATTACATTAGATCTAAAATATTAATCAGTACAAGATGAGCCATTAATTGCTTTAGCTCATGAATTAAAAACATCAATTGTAATGTAACCTTCAATTACTTAAGTACTTGTTTCAATGACATCATTATTAATGTGTCTATAAATTCATACATAATATATTCTCAAAGTTCTGTTGATTCAAAGATGATATAAACTGTGGTTGCAAAACGTTTCCTCATTAAAATTATATAAAATCTCCTTATCAGTGTTTCTATTTTGAGTAACGGATATATTTTTAATGGCTCGATTAAGTAAATACAAATTTGTTTTTGAATTAGTATGAGAAGTTTTCATTTTAAAAATATTGAATTAGGATCTTTGTGGACTCGGTTTTTGGTATGAAGGACTGTCCAATTTAGCTTTGTTACTGAACAAGAACAGAACACGTATTGTTATAAAAATGATTATCAAACCTCTGCTTGTGAGACATAAAAAAATATTTTAAGCAAGGTATTTTAAAACAATACAATTTTTTCGTAAAAAAAAGACATGACAGACAGTTAGTTCTCACTATATGTTTGTTTATAAATTTACTTTTATTTATAATTTTTTCCACAGGAATATCACTCATTATTACTCAATTGATGTACATTTTGTAATTGTATTTTATCATATGAAATCAAATATTACAAGACAACAAACAATGAACTGATAGAATTTGCAATGACATTCCTGAATGCATTTATTTATTTAAGATGTTTAAGCTCATTTAAACAAGATTATTTTCAGTTGCAATAAAACATAAATTTTACTCATATTTATAAAAAACAAATTTTATTAACATTTCATATCTTCTTAACCATACAGAAACACATAGAAACAATTAATGCAAGGATTGTAGTCAAATTTAATATCTATTATGATAGCACACTAAATAAAACTTTTATAATCCTAGAATTTATCATTAGAAATGCCAAATTTATTTAAATACAATTAGATTCACATAAATGGTTTTTAAAATTGACAAAATGTGTGTCTAATCTTAGATTTTGGTTACCAACTTCGCTATCAACGACACATTTCCTTAATTCTTGTAAAACAACCACATAAAATTAAATTCCTCAAGGTTCAACCACAATATGATAAAATTATTTAATAATTCAAATTTAAAATATAATTGTTTACAATATTCTCAATAATTAATGAATAAAACATTTTACTTACCCAGTATAATTTCACTAATATGATTAATAAGAAAATTTAGAAACTCATGAGCATCTTGCTGCATGTAGTTGTCAAACTCCTCTGAAAGAAAAAATAAAATAAATTAAAACACAAAAAATTAATTTGTCTGAATGAATTTCTAATTCGAGCCCATATCTATTTGACAATTAATAAGTGTGTGTACTTGTACATTCTACAAGATACTACAACTAATTAATTCCTTACTATAACATGATATTAAAGTTGATTATTAATATCATAAATATTTTTTTAAAATTGTATTTTATCAAAATTTACTGTCTGCCATTTTACAAAACAACTTCTGAATATATTACAAATTAAGGGAAAGCATCTTTTTAATAAACGAGACAAACTGCCTCTAACACCTTGGTTTTTCAAAATTAAATTAAAATCGGTACAATGTGCAGAATGAGAATTGGTCACTGCTATAGTTCTGCTCATCTGTTCCGAATTGGTATCCTTGACTCCCCAAGTTGCAGTTCTGGTGAAATTGGAAGTTTAGCTCATACCATAATGGAATGAGGTAATAATACAGACAATATAAAATTCTTATACCATAAAATGGTTTCAGCTTTTCGACCCCAGTATTCTCCTTTATGTTTAAATGATTATTTACGAAAACCAATTTGCAGTGCAGTCATAATCACGTCATTTTTAAAAACATTAATTTATAAAAAATATTGTTCACCTTTTTTTTAATTTTACAGAGCCAAATAGTGTTTTAAATCTTATATTTTTTTACATGAAACTAATGTGAGTGCTGGTTAAATAACTTGTATAAGTTGAGACCAATAAATGAAAAAAAAAAAAAAAAAACTTCTGAATCTTCTAAAAAATTGTTTGTATGATTAACACACCTTTGAGTGCTGGTTTTTTTTTAACTATCACAAAAAATATCATTTATGAACGTACTAAGGTTGAGGAAATATTTAACAATGTAATTGGGATATCTACATATATTCTTTTCATGGAACAAATAAAGTATCTTTTATTGGTGTGGCTACCGATGCAAGCAATCACAATGTAGTAAAAATGTTTCCAATGGTCTTACAATATTTTGATATTAAAAATCGGGACATTCAAACTAAATTATTGGATATTAACACGTTGCATGCTAAAAGCCTAATAATATGCTATTGATAGGTTCTGAAGAGTATTTTCTGAAAACAAACTTATAACTGCGAAGGATTTCTTGTTGGCAGAATAAATTTGGGTACATTTTGTTTTTCTAACGCTTGACGCTCATAGGCGTCGTCAGCACTGGATCATTAATGTTTGTTCCATATGCTAAGTGACGCACATGTGCGTCTTTCATTTTTAAATTGCAGAAAGTCATTATTGTTAAAAACATTTACTGGAAAGTTAAAAAAAAACTTTATACATATTTGATTTTTACATCGTCAAACAATTTTAATCGACTTCAATCATATGCTATATGTGTTATAACGTGACAGTATGATTTTCTCAATTTTATAAATGGAATATCCTATTTAATTAATTAATTGGTGGTATAACATACACGGTATTCCATTTAAAAAATGAGAAAATCGTAACCTCGTATATTTAAGAATAATTCTTAAATATAGTCATACAACTTTTATATTATTTTTTTTTTGTATTTCCAATAATAAAACAGCTATCGATCAATTACGCACTGAAGGGACACCCTGTACCTATATGTGTTATTGGTATCATTGGATATGAAAAAAATTGAGTAAATTGAACTTAAGATTGACCATTTTTGAGACATGTTTCAAAACACTCTGTATAAAATAAATCAGTTCTATCGTATTTATTCGTTATCTTGTAAGTCCATTTTAAACAATTTTAAAATCATTGTAAAGCTACCTAAATTATGATAATTTAATTTGCCGTCTACATCATTTTCCAATTTTATAAAAAAATTAATTGGTAGGCAACCCTATATTTTTTAAAAACATTCTAGGGTTAAATACGGTATTACCATTCTAAAAATAAAATACAGGGTGTTTTACTTAAAAAATATAAATTTTTAATTATCAGGCAAAAATGCAACACCCTGTATATCCAAAAATATTTTTAAAATAAGTAGTTTGCAAACTTGTTTGCGTGTCTATAACACAAATTGAAATGACCACTAATGGGACACCCTGCAGTCTACCCTCAAACGTACATTATATTATATTTTGAGTATCATATTATAATATTACAAATATTTAACTGTTATGTTAAGAAAACTACTCATGTAAAAAGTCCGTTTGAGTTTTGATGAATAAATAAATAAATAAATATGCAAAATAAAAAGTTTAATAACAGAAAGGCTAATTTAATAATAAATATATTATTTTAATAAATTTGACATGGTAAAATAAGAATAATACAGAAAATTATTTTTTGTATTTGGAGGAAAGGTTTCTGAGAACTGCTTGATAAATAGAGTAACAGATAGTTCCCTCTACAAGCTCTTTCAAAAAGTAAACTTTTATACGCAAGGATAGTTATGCCAAACATTATGCAATTACACCGATCTATCTGAAAAAACAGATTTTCTTATTTTTTATAAACTCTACACTCTACACATTGATTGTAAATATCTGAAAACGTTATAAATTACGTTAGCTACTATAAACATGATACGCTTTCCTTTTGTTGATGTTTGTGAAGAATTTAGCAAATTTCTTAATGAAAATTTTCGATTTTGTCAAAAATAAACGTACTTTACTCTTGAGCAAAATTCATATTTTTTGACAAACCTCGTATACGGCTTGAAAAATTTGATATGTGATGACTGTATTTTAGGTTTTGGGTCATGCAAGACTTTTTATCAAGAATAACTTTTTTTCCTAAAATCAATAATAAAAATGTTTTCCATATGGTTCCAACTTAAGTAGACACACTGTATACTTGTTTTTTTATTTACTACACTGCAAATTATAATTATTTCCCCCTGTATTAAAATCTACTGTTCAGATCTATGGTTTTTTTTGCCTAGATCGGAAGAAATTTCCAACCTCGAGTGCGACACTCCGAGGACAGTGACCCCGAGACAGATTCAGAAGTGTCGACAGGAAGTATCGTCTTGACGACACTTCTCGTGTCGCGCCGTGCGAAATGTGTTTCATATAATTGTATGTATTTTAGATGTGAAGCGACACTTCTCGGTCGCGTCGTCTGTCGCGCCTACCGAAATGGTACCTTTAACAGCTTTAAAAAAATTTTAGTAACAAAATTTTTTATAATATTGATTATTACTAGGTAACATAATATATATTATGTAGGTATATGTATGTGTGTATATGTGTATGTATGTATGTATATTTAAATGTAGATTTTAAATTGTGTTTTGTCCACCACATGTATCTTGACATATCCTACATCATTGTATAGTGATCAAAAAGGACCAATAAAGATTTATTATTATTATAATACAGCAGAATTTCTCATTGCAATTCCATCCCACAATGCCAATGTTGAGAGAATATTTTCACTTATTGCAGCCCAGTGGACAAGGGAAATAAACAGACTGCTTTTGGCATCTGTAGAAGGAATATTTATGACTACTTATAATTTAAAAGATATGAGCTGTTCACAACTTTATGCTTTTAGCAGAAATAGTAAAGCAAATATAAAATATTGATGGCCTAGAAGCAACACCTTGTAAGTACAAAATATGTAGATAAAAGCAATAACATAGGGTTATGGCACTACTTATGGCCACCGTAAGACAAAAATGCTTTTGTGGGGCCTGTTTATCAATCATATTTTAAGGAGGTCCTTTCGCCACACCTCTCGCCTCCAATGTTAAAAAAAAGTTATTATAGGCAGAGACAACAAATATTTGGTCAAAATTATAAAAAAGGAAAAAGCTCTAAAAGGCCCAAAGTAATAACAAAAGCTGTTGAAGATGTGCAAATTAACATGTTGCAAATTGCCAATAAAATAAATAAAATACAAAATATAACTGAGAAGAAACTGCATAATGTGTTCAAAAAAGAACGATTGGTGCTTGTATTAAAGCTAGTGGTAACGATTGTGCACCACACCGATTACTACTCAATATCCTTTTAAATAAAATAGTTGTTAATAGTTATAATTTAAAGTAAAAACTGTAAGGTAAAACAAATGTGTGCTTGTTACATTAATAATATTAATATTTTTTTGTATACATATAAGTAACATAATGTATTTTGTAAATGGTTTAAACCCTGTAAAAAATAAATAATAGAACAAACTTAAATTATTTTTTTATCACTTCCCATTGCCCAGGTACAATTCCAGTAAGTTTTAAATTTGTTTAGTTAAACTGCAATAATTGCCAAGTACTGTCATTGTCTTCTGTTTATCGTATTTAAAGTTTCAGCTGTAACTAAATATCTTAGACTCAGTCTAAAGTAAATAATTTTTAATTTTATTCATATTTTAATGCATAACTTTTTTTGTCCATAACTTTCTGGTAAAGGTTTTTTTTTTTGTAATAGTGGCAATAACTAGTACGCATATTTCAGTTTATTCTTTTCGTTAACTACAAACTAGATATAATAGCTCAGTTCACTCGACCATTCACTGTTGGGTACTAATTAACAGTGCTGTTCCTAAAGTGGCGCTGGGAAACAGTAACAAAGCCTACACAGAACACGAGGCTAATAACCGTAGCAGTTGATGCCGATGACAAAAAAAATAGCTCAGTTTTTAAGGTTATATTATTTCAATTTTAAAAATTAAATTATTGCATTTGACTAAATCTAATTAAAATATCGAATTCTAACATTAAAATACAATAATAATTAATATTATGATTTTGTGTTGTAATTCTAACAGTTACCTAACTGAATTTTGTTCTCGCAGTTACAGACCATAAAAAAAAGAAGATCTATTTTGTAATAAAATACCTACGGCACTGGCTCACATCTAGGGATTTTTACTTTTATTTTCACCAATCGCTGTCATGACGATTTGGTCACGTGGGTTTTCGGTATTGTTGAAGACCCAGTATTATGACTAAAATTAATTTTTTTCTAATAGTTGAAGTCATGAAGTCCTTATTTATCTAATACTGAACTTTTAACTATACCTTACCTTGCAAAATTTTTGAGATTTTTTTTTTTAAATGTGAGTATTTGTAAAGTGCCTCACGAGAAAGTAAGTCCTCAACAACAATTCTCGAATTATACTATTATTTATTGATTAGATGGAGTAAAAAAAAAACTAAAAATAAGGTTTTTGAAATATTTAGATTTTGTTTTATACAATAAAATATATATAGTAAACCGTGGAACTTATTGAGAAATTAATATTAAAAAATCACAAAAAATTTTCAAGTAACCTAGTTGAAAATTTTTTGTGATTTTTTAATAATAATTTCTCAATAAATTCCACGGTAACCTTTATATTTTATTGTAAAAAACAAAACCTAAATATTTCAAAAACCTTATTTTTAGCATTTTTCTACTCCATCTAATCAATAAATAATAGTAAAATTAATTATAATTCGAAAATTGTTGTTGAAGTCTTACTTTCTCATAAGACACTGTACAAACACACACATTTTTAAAAAAAATTTTTCTCAAAAATTTGCATGGTAAGGTATAGTTAAAAGTTCACTATTAGATAAATAAGGACATCTACTATTAGAAAAAAAATAATTTTAGTCATAATCTAATATTTTTTATTTAACATTGCTGGCGAAAGGACCTCCTTAACAGAAAAAAAAAAAAATAAAAATAGCATTTGGGTTAATAGCATGTAATTCTTTTTTGCATTTTTTTAATAAACTGAAAGAAATTCTTTACTTTTGGCCATCAGTCCGCCACCAGTTCTTTACTTATGGCCACTAATTTTTAAGTTGCATTTTTAAATTTTAGTTTGCTGTTATTGTAGGAGTTCATGTTGATGAGCCACGTAAGAGTGACTGTGCACCTTTAGCTGTGTAAGGTACAGGAGATCCTCAAGAAGAAATTAAATTCAAGGATGGTGTAGGAACAATTTCTCAATCATGATGTAATTCTGCCTCAGACCCATCCTGCATATTTGTCATCTTCGTTAGTAGTGTTTTAGGTATGAGTAATGTAATTTGTAATTGATAGAGAAATGTTAAACAACTCAGATGCTGTTTCAGCACCTTCCCAATTATGACCTCTTCTTTTTGTTAGTGCAAATGGTTCTAGCATATTAACATCCAATTAAAGAAAGAATACACAATAACTCAATTACTATCTACCCCTTAACCCACACAATAACTGCAGTGGCCATAAGTAAAATATGAGGTTTTACTTATGGACACCAGTGTGGCAATAACTCACAAATTCTTAGTTTTTAGTCATTACTAATAGCCACCTTGATATTTATTTCTAATTTAAAAAAATATATGATGTTGAAAACAAAATACATTGGGTATTAATATCTACCTACCTCTGGAAATTACATATTCAAAAATATTCTTGATAAATCCAATTTTTGTCCTGAAGTGTGCAGATAAATTCTTAGCCAAAACAACAAATAATGCTTGCATATATTGCACATGTTAACTATGTATTTTACTGATTTACAATGGCCTTAGATAATTAGTTGGAAACCTGTCCAATCATATTGCCACATACTCATTTACACCCTTTAACCACCACTTAGTTCTCATTGTTGACGAACGCTTATTTTTAGATGTCAAAGCAACAAATGGCCATAAGTAGGGTAGTGGCCATAAGTAGAGCCACAACCCTATAAGTAAGTGCTTTAAAAAAATTGAAAAAAGGATTCAAGGACCAAGACAGTAAAAATGCCATACATAATGTTGTATGTAACTTTTTGACACAGTTGATTAATAAATAATATATTTATATAATATTTTAATGGTTTTTCTTCATAACCACAAATTTTGGAAGATGTACTTATGTGTTAATGCTTCTAGGCCATCGATATAGTGAAGTGAAATGTACCTGTATGGGTATTGTCCCATTTTTATATTTTAACTTGTTATAAAATATAACTTTTTTGTTTTATTAGTAAAATCATGTCATTAAGTAAATAATGTGAATATCACCTGTCTTACTTTTTCAGAAAAAATTTTATAACTTCTAGATTTTGTCTGGATTTTTTATAAACTTATCTGGCTGGAGAAGCATTTTTACTTATCCAGCATAAGTTATTATTATTTTACCCATTAAGTAGGTACTTATATTTGCCTGATTATCATTTATTATGTTAGTTGTTTCGCAAAATAAAAGCCATACAAATTGATAAGGACTGAACACTTTTTCTAGCTTACCTTTTTCTTTTCTTAGCCTTGCTATAAATTTTTTTGGTGCTATAGAACCCACTTTCTTTTTCTGAGTGGCTATACTGTGAAAGAGGTCTGCAAGGCATGTAAGTAATGTCTCTTTAGTCCTCTTATTCTTTGCTTTATATTCTAAAACCTTATCCCTAAACGGTTTGCAAAAATATAGGGCTTGTAGCACTGAATTGCTGTAACATGTATTTCCAAACTGCAAAATAAACAATTAAATTATGGAAGTTATAAGATTCGTAGACTTACATTAACTAATCCAAAGTAATGCTCGTTACAGGGAAACTGTTCTGAACCTATATCTCGTTCCAATTGGGAAATATTTGCACCCTAAAAAATAGATTTGTTAAGATCCAGTTTAGAAGTGTCTTGCATCAGAAAAAATGTTGATACGTAGACGGTTATTCGCCAATTAACATAAGTGCATAATTTATTATCATTAGGCATGCTCTTACCATATTTCAGTAGCTAATCCATTACTTTTGAGTTGAAAATGTGCGAAATTAACACAATTAGTAAACGAGACATCTCTCCATTTATCGCATTTTGACGGTTGACAGATGTTAAACAAATTTTGATATGATCATGAAACAGTTTCTACTGTCAAACCATTTAAACTTTGTTCGTTTGATCAATAAAAATGTATTGGATTGTTTCTCCAATCAAAACTAAATAATTCCGATCCCAATAAATTAAACCATTCTTTTTCAGTTATATTCATTATGATAATTTTTTACAAATATTTATTAAACTTATTCTGAATAAAATCGAGCGATTGAAAAGAACGTAAATTAATAACATTCTTGTAATTCCGTTCTGTGATCCATTTGACATATATTCGTAGAGTGCTGTAAAATATTTTAAGAATGTTTTAGTAAATTTCAGTAGATGGCACAACGAGAAGAACATTAGAGAGAACAGAACCGTCTTTTATTAATTTCACAATTATTAAGAAAATTTAAAGAACGTTAATAAATGTCAATTATTGGAAAATGATAAAATACGTTTTAAATTATTTACAACAATATTTTGAATAATATATTGTTATTTCTGTAATGACATTGTGCATATAATAACTACCTATTAATTTTATCTAAGGAATTTATTTCATTATACATTTTACCCACATCAACAAAGAATATTAATGCATATTTTGAATAATAGTTTATGATGCGATAAAATTTTTAAAAGTAATTATATATTCAAAACAATTTATTAAAAAATTCCAAAAATATTTTAAATATATAGAAAAAGGTATTTATATGACCAAATGTGAGTACGTGTAACCACATTTTAATCAATATGCGTGCTATAGTGGTATTGGTTATTACTTTTGGTTCGATTTTTGCCGCTACATCGGTAGAACAACGTAAGTTTAAATTTTCGCAAGATTTATGTGTGTGAATTTTTACTGAAAAAATATTTCAGGCAATGAAGACCAACATTACAATTTGAAGGAAAAGTTCCATCACAATTTAGAAGAAAATATTCATCATCATCATGTGGATGAGAAGAACCATCATCATGTGAACGAGAAGACACATCATCACGCTAATGAGAAAACTCATCATCATTTAAACGAAAAGGCTCATCATCATGCAAATGAAAAGGTTCATCATCATTTAAATGAGAAAACTCATCATCATTTAAATGATAAATCTCATCATCATTTAAAAGACAAATCGCATGGAAATCATGGGGAATACAGTCATTATTCTGGACATCATCTTAGACATGAAGTGAAACATCATAACCAAGGCTCTCATTTTTTTCATCATGGTTACAGAGTCCACGAAAACACCCGTGAAGGCAGTCAAAACTGTCGATGGGTTTGCGATGAACTTCCAAGTAAGTAGAAAACATTACTTTTGTAAATATTATGAGCAAAATTGAAGAATATTGTGGTACGAAGGAAATTAAAAAAGTTAATGCCTACCTAACAACGAAACAAAACACACGATTTTATGATATTTATATATTTTTTTTCAATATAATCTTTTTTAACTTTTAATATGATCTGATAAAAATTAATCACTTTATCATAATGGATCACTATGCAACGATTAAATGTAAAAAGTGAAGCAGGGAGCCGTTTATAGTAGTTTGTGCAACAAGAGTGGATATGGACAATCCACTCGAATTGTACAGTATATTTTTTCTACGACCCACTAACGAAAATCCACAAATATAAAAAATTATTTTAGGTTATTAAGGTAATATAATTGAGTTAAAAATATTTTATGACTTTTACTAATTTATAAAATAAAATAAAATAAATAAGAAAAAAAAATCATTTTATTTTTCTCCATCTGAGATTCGGACTCGAGTCTTCCGTATGGAAGGCAAGAATGCTGACCACAGTACTATCTACGCGTTAATTTTTTTCCTTTAATACTCTTAATTAAATTGACTTCATATAGTTTTATTTAAATTAACAAATTATTTAAAATTATAGACGACATAAAAATAGAAATTCTATTTTCCTACGACCACTTAGGAAAGTGACACATATCACACTATATAGACCTATGGAAAGTGCCCTATATCACACGCGTATGAATAAGAATTTACTTTCCACCCAAGTGAGAATATGCTACTTTCCGCAGTAGCTGTCAGAAAATGTCAAACACATAATTTCTATTTTGATCTATGTAATGTCCATATTAATACTAAAATCGATATGATTGTTAAATTATTGTAAATTAGATCCTAGATATTTATCTTTAACAATTATTTTTAAAATAATTTTAAAATAACTAAGATATATTTGCTTTTTATTCTGGTTAAACACATAAGCGATTAGATCAATCAATTACCGTAAGGCCTGTTAGCTCAGTTGGTTAGAGCATCAACTTTGCAATTTGAGACCGTCCAACGACCGCGATCGAATCCTGGCTGTGCCAGAATTTTTTTTTAATTTTTTTTTTTTATTTTTTTTTATTTGTTTAGAAATTATGAAAATTTAATAAATACGATTATTGTTGATTATTTTTTTAAATACATTTTAATTATTATAATAATCTGGTTTTACATTTTTTGATGAAATTATTTTGTGGTCGTAGGAAAAATATTGTACATCACTTGTGTGAAAAGTGATTTTCCACACTCGTGTGATAGTCGCACTCGGCTTACGCCTCGTGCGACAATATTTCCCACTCGTGTGAAAAATGTCACTTTCCACACTCGTAATGTAATATACTATATTTAATACCTAGAATGGATCTGAAATATATTCGTTCAGTTAAAGGCAATAGCATACTTTTTCGTTTTGTAATCTGTACGTAGATAAGCTAATATATCTTTATGCTAAAACTGTAAATATAAAAGTTGTTCGGCTCTGAAATATCTACAAAATTGATATACCAGGTGTCCAGACGAAAATTTAATATTGTTTTGAAGATAATAACTTGAAATTTTGAATGTCTGTTCAGGATATAGGGGTACAATGAACAGTGTATTTTTCATACCGACCTATCAGGTCACCCTCCGGCCTCAGCCACCCCCATTCCAAAATTTTAAATTACACCCTGTATTTTCTTTTTGGTTGATTTTAGAAGAACACAATTTTTTGGTACCCCTAAGTAAAAAAAACTAGTTACTTACATCATGAAATTTATGAGATATTTAAAGTTAAAGGTTTCAGATATCAGTAATTATTAACTTCAAAAAATCATAAGTTAGACATGGAAATATTTTGTTTTAAATTATAATTTTCAAAACTGTGGCTTTTGTGTTTTATTAATACTTGTAAAATTTTTCTTAAAGTTTCGGTATTAAATTTATTAATGCAAGGAAAATACTGCTAATAATTAAAAAAATTAGAGGATAATGATATGGGAGACTTTTTAAGCAGTAAAAATAAGTTTACTCTTCATTATATCTAATTAATTTTCCAATTTTCTCTGAAAACCGCTGATGTTATAAAAATGAGTATTCGTAATACCCTTAAGGATTGTTAGTTTAAAGATTTTAAACAATGCAAATAAACATTTATATTTGTCGCTCGGCGAGCGATAAAGTTGTCACTTTAATGTCAGTTCGCGGAAAACATTAACTTTGCGGTTGAATTTCAATGCGCAAAAGCCTACGTTGTATGTAGTACATGGAAATCGTACCAAAAAAGAAGTGTTGCCTTACATCTATGAGGTTTTTATAAGTTAGTAGTGATGAAATAGGTAATAATAAATCCAAGTTTTCCACCTCGAAAGCCCTTCGGATCACAGTTAAATACTTGAAAATTCATTAAAATTTAGGAATTTTTTCGGATTTTGTCAATTTTACCACCAATGACCTACGTTACGGCAAAAGTTACTATGGATACTTTTTAAGTAGAATAAAGCAATTAAATGAGAATAATTTGTTTTTTTTTTTCTCCTAGGCTCGTCTGACTATGTCTCCAAATAACACTGAAGTCTTTTGGCTTATTGTTTTTTGTTCATCCCACTCTGTCACCTTTGTACCTTGTACAAGTTTGTAAAGATCCTTGGGTGAGTGTTTGATCAACCTGGACTTGTCCAAAAAGAGCCTGTCTTTTGCGATCTAGAGCTTCGCATTCGCACAGTATGTGTTTGGCCGATTCTGGTTTCTTGTGACATAGTCGGCACATGAGTTCCCCATTGTACATGCCAATTTTGTTCAAGTATCCCTTTACTGGGGCGTACCCAGTCATGAACCCTGTTATCACTTTTAACTGGTTCCTATTAATAAAGAGTAGTTCTCCAGTTCTTTTGGGACATGATCTGCCTATGAAGGCTTTTCCATGAGCCTGTTTTGGGGTGCTTCCCCAATAGTTAATATGTTGTTCCCGAATCCAGTCGTTTATGAAACCCCGGACTGTACTTTTTGGTACTCCTGGGTTTGTGTCTGGTTGCGGTGTTTCTTCTGACTCTCTTCTTGCAAGTTCGTCAGCCTTTTCGTTGCCTTCGATCCCTTGGTGACCTGGCACCCAAAATAGTTTTACTCTATTTCGGTCTGCCAGTGTTCTTAGTTCTTCGATGCATTCCCATACCAGCCTCGACGTAACTTTCTGACTCGATATGACCTTAAGTGCCGCTTGGCTGTCTGAAATTATTTGAATATGCTGATTTTCGACAGCTCTTTCATTGTTCGTTTTTGCACATTGCAAAATTGCGTATACTTCGGCCAGAAATATCGAGGAATGTATTCCTATAGCATAGCTATGGTTAGTATCAGGGTTTTTGGAGAATACTCCCGCCCCAGTGCCTTCCGCAGTCGTAGACCCGTCTGTATACCACGTTTGTTCCTGTCGTTGGGCATTGGGCTCCCTTATGGTGATCTCCGATCATTCCTGTATTAAAACCTCAAATGGAGTATTAAAAGAGTACCTCTTGGTTAGGTGGGCTGATCTCATGTCTAGCACGTCTTCTGTCACTAACCTTGAAATACTCATGTGACCTGGCCTAATATCCAGATTTCCCAGTGTATTTCGTAATCTGTAAGCACCTAATCTTGCCTCCCCTTGGATCACATAGTGAAGAGGTGGGAGTCCTATTAGTGCTTCCATTGCAGCTGTGGGAGTTGTTTTCGTTGCCCCCGTTATTCCGAGGCAGGCAAGTCTTTGTACCTTGCTTAGCCTCGTTATTGCTTTCCTTTGCTGTATCTTTGGCCACCATACCAAAGCTGCGTATGTTATTATCGGTCTCACCACCATGTTATAAAGTCTGGTTTTAACCCCCATTTTTTTTCCAAAGGATCGCCTTGCCATCATTAACGAGGTTTCAGCTCTCCTTGTGGTTTTTTCCAGATGCTGGTTCCAGGTAAGTCTCGAGTCAATCATAACCCCGAGATATTTTATCTCCTCCTTAAGCTGGATTCTTGCTCCTCTTAGGTTTAGAGGCCCTAATCCCTCCAATTTCCTCCTGCAGGTGAAAGTGCTAGTGACTGTGTCATTAAACTCATCCACAGCCATTTCTAGGTTGGTTGTTGTTCTTATCGTCTTTCTCATCTTCGGAAAATTACATTCCAGGGAAGTATTGTATGCCTCCCTGGGATTCTGATAATTTGGTTTTGGTATGCCAAATAGTTTTTAAGATACGGCTATTTAAAAGTTTGCAAAATTTCAAAAAAAAGGAAGTATGACAGTTTTTTTTTAATTTTCGACAATACCTATTTACCCCTAAGTAGTGGGTTTATTGGAAAAGTTCCTTTTTAGTTATTAAAGTCCACCAAATTCCCAAAAAAATGAGATCAATTATGTCAACTTGCACCAGCTGTTCAAAGTTGTTGAAGTAAGTAAACAATTATGTAATATGGTTTTGGAAGGCCAGATAGTTTGCATAATTTCAAAAAAAGGAAGTATTACAATTTTTTTTTAGTTGTCTGGTAGATTTTACCTGAAAATGTGCTTTGTTTTTACTTTTATGGAACATAACATATTAAATATTATAACGATGAGGACTTTTGCACACATGAATCGTCACCTTTTCCCATATCATTATTTAATGAAGATGGAATCAGGAAGGGTACAAAGTCATCATTTTACACAGCTTTTAATCCTATGAGTCTGAATGATAATCAACAGAGGAATGATCACAGAACACTTAGGTACTCACGTAGTTGTAGACGATAGACATCTGCTCTACAAGGCACAAAGTAGTGTGGCCTCGCAATACGTCTTTTGGAGAAATTGGTTCCAGATATGTCCAATACTAGCAAAAACACTACGGTTCAAACATAACTGTAGTTTTTGATGGCTATCCGTCTAACGCATCAGACAAAAATACCAATAGCTCTGAACGTCTGCGTAGAGCTCTAGCAACGTCCTCTCCAGATGTTATATTCGATGAAACATCCATTGCTTTAGTTACTCAGGACAAGTTCCTATTGAA